CGGCGCTCGGCGCCGGCCTGGACCCGGACGCGGCGGCCGCCGCGCGGCGGCGGCTCGTCGACGATCGGACGTGTAGTAACGCGGCGCCATGATCGTACGTCCGATATAGCTCTCTTAGTGCGCGGGCGCCTCGGGCCCCGCCCCCTCGTCCCAGACCTTGGCCGGCGGCCACAGGTCCCGGCCCCGCTTGAACGCGCGGAGCTCGTCCAGGCTCCGGAGCACGACGCCGCCGGCCGGCGCGGCGTCGGCCGGCGCGTCCGCGGCGAGGTCCGGCGAGTAGACGCGGGACCGGAAGAGGCGCCGCTGCGGCGCGCCGGGGAGCACGTGCGCCTCGAGCACGCGGATCAGGTCCTCGCGCGACACGTCGCGGAGCTGCGCCGCGCGCGTCGCCACGTGGCTGAACTTGCGCCGCCCGGACGAGATCTCGTGCCAGTCCCGCGACACGACGTCGCGCAGGCTCGCGGGCCGCTGGAGGATCTCCGTCGCCAGACCCTCGCGCTTCAGCGCCAGGTCCGCGTCGCTCAGGTCCCGGAGCTCCTGGGCGAAGACCGCGAGCCACGCCTCCACCCTGTCCTCCAGCTCGGGAGGGCTCTTGCCCGTCGCCGACTGGAGCAAACACGTAAAGCCGATGACGCCGCCCGAGCTATCGAGACCCGCCGACGCGATGTAGCCGAGCTGCTCCACCGTGCGCAGGCGGTTGAACGCGGACGCCTGCGCGAGGCGGCCGAGTAAGGTCGCCGCGGCGTCCCGCTTCGCCGCGGACGGCCAGCCCGCGTCGACCGCGTCGTCGTCGTCGCCGCTGCGGCCCAGCTGCCAGTACATCTCGACGGCGTTGTTCGGGTCCGACGGCTCCGCGGCCTTGGCGTTGGGCTCGCCCCGGAACCGCGTGCCGCTCGCCTCGCCCTCGCGGAGCGCCCGCAGCTCGACGGCGACGCCGAAGTCGCCGCGGGGGAGCCGCAGCGCGGGGTGCGGCGCCAGGGGTTCCGTGGGCTCCCCCGGGTCCGCGACGGCCGCCAGCGCCGCGGCCGCGTACGCGCGCGCGCCGGCGTCGTCGGCGTTGCCTGGGCAGCACAAGAGTGATTCAACGTCGCTTCAACGTGAGTGTTCCGCGCGCGCGCGTATCGGAAAACACATCCACGCTTCGAGACCGTTCCGAGAGATGATCGCTCGTCCAAAAATCAGCCGAAACGAGTGGAAAACGGCCGAGATATGAGCCTTTGAAGTTGGGAATTTCGCTCTCTTGTGCTGCCCTGGGCGTTGCCCGCGACGTAGATCTCGAGGGACCCGTCGCGCAGCCGCTCCCGCGCGATGGCCGCGGCGACAT